ACGCCCGCCTCAGTACAAGACAATTAAGGGGACTCCTCGTTAAACAAACCAATTATAATTATCCCCTCCCATATCTCCCCTCTCTCCCCTCCACCCTCATCCATCCCCCGTCATCTGTCTACCCCTCCCCCTCCCCGCCTCATCCCGCCCTGTCTTCTGTGTACCCCCTTCCCCTCCCCTCCTCCCTCCCTCCTGCTATACACTCTAGAAAAAAAAATATGAAATTGGAAAATGGAACGAAAAAATAGGATTCGATGTTCATTTGTTTCCAAATATAGGTCATTATATCTCTACAAAGTCATATCAATAGCAATGGAGTCGAGCAAATATTCGCTATTGGTCATGTTGATTTTCTTTTTTTTTTTTTTTTTTTTTTTGAGTGGGAGTGGAATACATTAGCTATGATTAAAGCGTAATTAATTTGGATGGATTATCGAATTTGAGATGATCAAAACGAATGCGAATATGGATAGAGATACACTGAATTTGAAATTACGCTGAGAGACGAATTTCCCTTTGGCGAATACGAACATGTAAAGTGGTAAAAAAAAAAAAAAAAAAAAAAAAAAAAAAACGTGAATTCAAATCACTCAACAAAGGCATTTTCGATTTGGTTCAAAGTTGTTTTCTGAAAATAAATAAAATCAAATGACAGCGCAGAATGTCAGAATGAAGTTGTTTGTCAAGAAAATATTACCTCATCTTGGCCCTCACCTGATTATGCAAATGCGATGCTGAACTTAGATAGGTGCTTGAGGGAGAAGAGAGAGCTGTGCAGTTTTTGCACTCGTTCGATTCTTGCACATGGCTTGTCTTCTTGTCTTCCTCTGTCTCTCGTGTTTTTTTCTTTCTCTCTCTTCTTCTTCCCTTTTTTTTATCGATTTTCCTCTGTCTGTGTCTGACTTTGTTTGTCCGTCTGTCTGTATGTTTCTATCTGTCTCTGTTTCTCTCTCTCTCTCTTTCTTTGTATCGCTCTTGTTATCTCTCTCTCTCTCTCTTTCATCCATACCCTTTCTGTAACCCCTCTTTCTCTGTATCTGACTATAAGTCTGCTCTCTCTCTCTCTCTCTCTCTCTCTCTTCTCTCCTCTCTCTCTCTCTCTCTCTCTCTCTCTCTCTCTCTCTCTCTCTCTCTCTCTCTCACTTCTCTCTCTCTCTCTCTCTCTCCTCATCACTCACTCTTTCTCCCTCCTCTCTCTCTCTCTCTCTCATCTCTTCTCTCTCTTCCTTCTTTTCTCCTCCTCTCTCTCTCTTCTCTCTCTCTCTCTCTCTGCCTCTCATCCCTCTCTCTCTCTCATGCTCACTCTCTCTCTATCACTCATCCCTCGCCTCTCCTCCGTCTTCCCTCCCCTCCCTCCTCCTCTCTCTCCTCTCTCTCTTCCCTCCCTCATCGTCTTCTCTCTTTCTCCTCTCTCTCTCCCCTGTCCTTCTCTCTCTCTCTCTTTTCTTCTCTCTCTTCTCGTCTCTCTCTCTCTCTCTCTCTCTCTCTCTCTCTGATGCAACATATGACAACCTTCCTCTACATATGCAAAACAAAACGCGGTGTCATCAGAGAATTGCACATCAGAGTAACCTGTTCACTAAAACGTATCCAATATCTGGCGGAATAAGAGACTCTCTCTCCTCTCTCTCCTCTCTCTCTCTCTCTCTCTCTTCTATCTATCTATCTATCTATCTATCTATCTGTCTATCTATCTATCTCTCTCTATCTATCTATCTCTCTCTGACCCCTCTTTCTCTGTATCTGACTGTATGTCTGCTTCTCTCATCAATATAACTGCACACATCAGAGTAAACCTGTCACTAAAAACGTATCCAATATCTAGTCTGAATAAAAGACTTTTTTCACACAAAAAATCATTCCATTCAGAGTTCCATTTAGTGTCCAGCCACTGACGCACAACTTCCAGGCTGAAACAAGTGAGTGGTGCAACTGAACAATTAATATTATTATCATATTATCCATTTTTCATTACTTGCATATTTCATTATCATTAATTATCATTAATCATCATCATCATTATCATTATCATTATTATCGCTAATATATTATTTATCATAAACCATTAATCTAAACATTCATTATCATTATCATCATAAATTTGATTGATATTATTTATTATTGTTATCAATTACTATTATCGTTATTATCAATCTTTAATTCTTCTTCATTATTACCTTTTTTATTATGATTACTATTATCATTCATTATTTGTTTTTGTTGTTTATTATCATTATCACTATGTCATGATTATCATCATTATTACTTATGTTATTATTATGACGATTATTAATTGTTTATGCTGTATCAAATTTTATCATTAATATTATTGCTCAATCATTCATTATTATACTATTATCATTATTGTCCATATTCATCATTACCTTCCTCACTATCAGTATCATCATAATTCTGCTTCACTATACGTAAATGGTATCGCTAAATAGAGAAAGAAAAAGAAAAGAGAGAAGAAGAAAAAGAAGAAGAAGAAGAAGAAGAA